TCAGCACATCTCCTGTTCTGGCTGAAGGCGGCCGTGATTGGTCGTGGTATCATGCCAGACAGAAGTGCGTGTTTCTTGAGCAGGTGCCCAGCAGTTGAGCACTAGTACAGGTCCTGGTTCTCTATTTCTGGTGAGCACGGATCCATTACGCTCAAAAGCTTGTGTGTCCTTGACACCAAAATACATAGAAATACCTATCGTGTTCCATAGAGTAGTCTCCCACTGGGGCAGCATCGTGAATCATCAAAGTGACTCCACGGGTCAAGAACAACCTCTAACAAGTATTGGGTGGGGACCGCCTGGCCGCCTGTGTTCCCTGCCTGGGGGTGTTGGGCTCCAGCTTTTGGACAGGCAGATCTGTTGACCTGAGGTTTTGCAGGACCAGGGACCTCATTTTATTTAGTTCAGCTTCCTCATTTGCTGCCTGTGATTCCCTGGAGCTGCAGTTCTCAAAGTGTTTCTTGGGACTGGCATCTTGGCATCACCTGGAAGCTGGCAAGATATTTGGATCCTCTTGCCCCATCTCAGACCCACCACACCAGCCACTCTGGGGGCAGGGCTGGGGCCACGTGTTTCCGTAGGTCCTCTGTCCTGTGTGGCATCTGTTGGCCAAAGCAGCCGAGTGCTTCAACTGCTGCTGGTAAGACACGCTTCAATCTGGCAACGTAGTTGGAGAAAGTATGCTGAAACTGCATTAAAAACTTTATACATGTACGCGTTGAATTATTTTAGATATATTGGGTTAACTAAAATATATTATTAACATTAACTTCATCTGCTTCTTTTACTTCTTTAGTGACTTCTAGAAAACGCAAAATCACTAGACTGAGTGGCTCTCTGTGGGTCTGACGCACATCGAGAACCACCGTCTAAAGCGCTTGAAGAGCTTCAGAACTCCAGAGACTGTCCCAGGAGACAGAGGAGGACTGGTCACCTGCAAGAACCAGGTCGGTGGTGGGAGGACTCGGGAACTCGTCACTCTGTGTCTTTTGGTGCTTGTTTTTTGTCGTCATACTCTCACTGAAGAAAATGCCCCGATGAAACAAGTGCCAATGCAGTATCAATGACAAAATCGAGAGCCTATTTGAGAAAATGAGAATCGAGGCCAAGAGCATTCGCAACATTTGGTAGAAAGAGGAGCAGGAGGAAACCAGCCGCTTCCTCACTGCTGACGCGAGTGGGCACCCCCGAGGGTGCGCGATGCTCTGCATGGACAGATATAGACACGCACGTGCCGCCACTGCTGTGCCAATGGTGCATCGCTTTAGAGTCAATGCCTTTCAGTCTATCACATCCCCCAGGCATTTCTAAGTGCAGAATCTCATAAAACAGGTCTCAACAGGGAGCATAAGGGAGGAAAGAGAGAGTGGAAAGCAAGAATTGGTCAAGTTTCCGGCCATAAGGACTTGGAGCGCTCAGCTGATGTTTTCAGCTGAGCTCGCACCAGTAGACAAATGTAAGTTGTAAAGACAAGGCCGAGCTGAGCAGGTAAAGCCTCCAGCCTCACCCGACTGCTGACTGTGGAGGCGTGTGGCGGAGCCTTGTGTCATGTGGTATCATACTCCTCTGTGGTCATCCAGGAAAGGTGAGAGAACGAGAGGATCGTGGGAACTGGCTCTCTGCTGCAAAGCCTGAAGGAAGCCTTTTTCTGATTTTGTCCTGTGCCTTTTATTCCTTGCACGTAGGGGTGGACTCGGTGAGAAGGAGGGAACCGAGTGTTTGCCCTGTGAAGGCAGAAGTCATCGTCAGGGATGAGTTCGCAGCCAGACACGGAGGGCATCCTGATGCTGGAGGAAGCCTTCAGAGACTGAGATGCTCCTCTCAGTGCTTATCTCTTCAGATGCTCAGACCTCAAGAGCAAGCCCTTCAGGGTTGGGAAGGAAGAAACTCAGACCTTTGATATGTGAGGATGGTCCGGCCCATAACTGCTCCGAAGTCCTAAACAGGGTTGCTGAAGATGGGCAGCCCAGGGACAGCCCGCTTTTCCAATTGCTGTGGATCTAGAATTCATTTTCGCAAAAACTTCCAGCTGGCAACACATTTTCAAAGAACAGGAAGTGAGGTGCTTTGGTTTAACAGTGAGCCCAAATGCTTGCAGGGTTCAGGTCTGTCTTCTAAGCCCGGGGATGGGGCGGAAGCTGAGTCTGCAGTATCGGAGGCTCTTACTCCTGCATTCCCTAAAACCATGTGCATTAGTCAGGGTTCTTCCCAGAAGCAGAGCTAATAGGATGTGCATATACAGAAGGAGATTTATGTTCAAGAATTGACTCACATGATAACGGAGGCTGCAAAGTCTCATATCTGCAGGAGGGGCTATCAGGCTGGAGACCCAGAGACAGCGATGACACAGCTCGAACCCGGAGGCTACCTGCTGAGGAGTTCCTTCTCGCTTGGGGAAGGTCGGACGCTTTGTCCTGTTCAGGCCTTTCATGAATTGGATGAGGTCCACCCACGTCAGGGAGGACAATCTTCTTTCCTCAAACTCTACTGATTTAAATGCCAGTTTCATTCAAAAATAGCCTCACAGGGAACCAGCAGTTAGCATAATGGCTATGTCGCTGGACTCCCATGTAGTTGACCGCGGTTTGCGTCCCAGACCCAGTGGCTTAAAACTCACGCCAGGTGCGTGTGCGTGTGTGCCCAAGATCCCGAGAGGAGAATGGAGGAGAAGGGATTGTGGCCATCCTCCTTGGGGGGTGCTTTCTCGCTTTCTGTCTCTCTGTCTCTCTCTGTCTGTCTGGCGAGCGCATGCACCCTATAGCGAAAACCTCTCCTCCCCCCCCCGAAAAAAAAAAGAAAGAAAAAATAGTCTCACAGATATACCTGAATACGGGACCCTATATCTGGGCACTTGGTGACCCAGCCAAGTTGTTACATAAATGAACCATTACCTGCATGATCTGACGTGTACCACAGAAGGCTCTTCCTGAATCCCTTTATGTTTGGGGAAATGGAAACCTGGAACAGTTAAACCCCTTGTCCAAGTGTCCCTAGCGTGGACTGTCTAAGCCCAGCGTCCTCTCTACTCGGGGAGCTCATGTCCAGCGACCAGCTTGTCCCATAAGTATAGAAAGTCTGTGTGTGCAAGCAGCACCCCTGCTCTGCCGCTGAGGAGGGCTGAGGGCCTCTGCATCAGAGGGAAACTACTGGGAGTCTTCTCCCACTTTTCAGCAGACAATGGAATGTGACTGGCCCCTTTGAGAGGGGCCAAAGGGAAGAAGGCCATGTGACGAGTCGGGCATGGAGTGATGCAGCTGCAAGCTAGGGAGGCCCAGGACCCCTGGTCACCACCACAGGCTGGGAAGAGGCAGGGAAGGATCCTCTGCAGAGCCTTTGTGGGAGCGTGGCTCTGCCAGCAGCTTGATTTGGGATTTTGAGCTCAGTATGGGTGAAGACTAGATCTCTGTTGTTTTGGGCCCCCAGTTCATGGTCATTTGTTATGAAAGTCCTAGGATGTATCCGTCAAGAACTGGTGAGCAGAGGCTGCTGCCTGCTGCTGCTGCAGGCAAGTCACTCCTGGTCCAGTGTCGAAGTCTGAGACGGTTCTCAGTGGGTCCAAGCTGCAAACCCTCCCTGTGGTTATTTCCGCACCCCCCAATACAGGGCTGGGACAGACACCCTGCAGCTGGCAGAAACTTTCCTCCATTCTCTGAAAGGAGTAGGTACTGATGGTGGGAAGCGGCACGTGGGCGCCCTCACCGCCCCTGAGTTCCTGGCAGTGGTGCGTGCTGTGCTGTCTGCAGTCCTGCAGTGAGGTGGCCACTGCCACCAGCACTACTCCTGGATCTTGCTGTCATGGCCAGTACTGTCCCTTGTCCCCCTGGGGGTGAAATCACACCCACATCCGGCTTCTTCCTCCTTGCTTCCTTGTGTGGGAGGTACATGAGCCCAGGCCCTCACTCACTCCACGCATGTGCAACCAGGACTTGAAGGGAAGGAGAGTCCTGATTCGGGCAGTAGGTACAGTTTTCTCTCCTCCCCAACTTGCTTGGGTACTTATTTTTGGAAAATCTCAAAAACATTAAATGGATCTTAGAAAGGCTTTGGGATAAGGCAGCCCTGAACCCAGCTTCCTTCTCCACCATACCTGCTTCAACTCGGTGCATGCCACCCAGCCTTCCCGGGCCTCAAGGGCAGAGCTAGTGACAGTATCAACTCCACAGGGGTGGGGCAGGAGGGGACATCTGCGAGGAACCTTCTCTATGATCTGTACAGAATAGACACAGGAGAAGTTCTTTTTCCTTCTTTTACCCCCTTGGGGATACCCATTATACCAACGAGAAATTCTGAGTTTCCTTTGTGAATACATTCTTAGCACCTTATGGTAAGTCCACAGAAAATACGCAATTAAAATATTGCAGAGACCAGCAGGTGGAGTGGTGGTTAAGGTGCTGGACACTCCCGTGTGACTGACTACGATTCAAGTCCTGGACCTGGTGGCTTGCTTTCTCACTTTCCCTCATTCTCTCTCTGTGTCAAACTAAAAATAAATGAATGAATAAATAAATTAAATAAATAATGAAAAAATCTATCTGTCTGTGCACTGGAAATTTGAACTCATGCCAGCAACATTTTGGTCTCTTGAGACTCCATCCATTTCGTTTGAGACCTCTGGACCCCTGGGGTCAAAGTCATCTTGAGTCTTCCCTCTCTCTCTCTTTTATTTTTTCTTTAAAACCCTCCCCCCCCCAAATCCTGCTATAGACTGTGTGTACTTGTTGGGAAGAGAGAGAGAGAGAAAGTGAGAAGGTACTCCTTGGGGTTTGGTCACACTGCAATCCCTCCTCCTCCATTCTCCTCTTGGGATTTTAGGCACACATGTGCACGCACCCAGCATTATTTTTCAAGCCAGGGAGTCTGACCCTCAGACTGTAAGGTTGACCATGTGGGACCCAGCTGCCTGAACACCATGCCCCTGGCTGGCTCTCGTTTCTCCCTCTTTATGCCTGTTGGTTTCCTTGGTGACAGCAGAGCTTCCTGGTGTAAGGTGAGGTGGGAAAGTGTCAGTTACTCATCTCAAAGATCTAAGTCCAAATGAAGAAGTTTGAAGCTCCGGGACCTGCTTGCGTGTTCTCAGGGAGTGTCTTTCCAGCAAACACTTCCCACTCTGTGTCCTGACTGGTGTTGTCCATACCTGGATGAGGGCCCGCTTCTCAGTAGCGAGATCGTACCCTTTGTTAAAACCAAGGCTGTGGAAAATAAGTCCGCTGAACAATGCTTGCTGGGGATACAGCAGTCATGCCAACACTGCCTAAGTGAGAAAGTCCCTGTTATGTCTCTGCTCAGGTAATTTTCTGTGGCTGGCAATATAAAAGACAGAACCAAACCCATACAATCCAGAAGCCTGAAAACAAATTCCTCAACCCGCCGGGACGTGGTGTAACCTAGAGTCTGAACGAGGGACTGGGCTGTGGCAACGACCGCGGGAGGAGCGGAGCAGACCCGATCCTCCCAACCATAGGCTCTCATAACACGTCACCCCGTTACGGCTTGGCGAGGCAGCAGGCTTCGCGAGGAGCTGTGCTTTAAACTCACAGGGCAGTTTAATGTAAGAGCCAACTCCGACCTCACATCTGTTTTAATTTAGATCCTCATTTATTGTAGAAGTCATGAAATACTCAACAAAATTTAAGCTCGGCGTTTGATTAAATGCCCACCAATTTACCCACATTCCCTGTACAACGTGAGCCTGGATTTTACCTGAGCCGGTGAAGAATTGCATCGGCCAGTTTCATCACCTTTTCCCTTGTCAGTGCCCATGGGGAGCCGTCTCGGGTAGGATCTGTGTGCCGGCAGCCGAGTCGTCTAGTACGAGCCCCAGGTGAGCCGCGAAGGAAGCCGGTGGGGCAGAAGGTCTAGATAAAAACCCAGAGCAGTCCTGCAGTGAGATTAGACAGAGATCCGCCCGGGTCTGCCAGCCACGTGCTCCTCCTGCACGCTAAGCCCTGCTCTTCCCAAGCCACACTGTCTGGCAGAAGAGGATCGAATGCGTCACAAGCAAGGCCGCTGGCTGAGGTGGGAGACCTTGGCGGGGCGGCATCATTTGAACTAGTGAATTAGTCAATATAGCGTTTATACGTTAGGATTTGTCTGGAATTTTCCCCAGGGCTAGTACAGGTTTATCTTGATCTCTCTCTATTATCCAACTTGATCTCTTTGGGCCAAGATCTATCAACCCCAGCATTACCGAGTCGGGTCTTTGTCCTGTTCATTGCAGGGTGCTCAGTGGAATCCCCACCCTCCAGCTGATCCCCTGCTGTCCCCACCATAGATGTCCCAAAACATCTCCAGACATTGCTAAATGTCTTGGGGACAAAAGGAGGGCTCAGGCCCTGCTTGGGGTCTAATGGCTGTGTTGCTCTGGGAGGACACCCTCCTTATTTTTCCTTTGAGAGAATTGGTTTCAGGGTCAGTAAGACCAATGAGTTGCTTCTGTTCCTGCAGTAGTAAAAGGTGTGGGGGGAGTGGGGGTAGGATCAAGCACAGAGGGAGGGTGCAATTCTCCTGTCCTTCCCAAGCTTTAAAAAAATGTTGCCAGAGGGCATGTGCACAGAGACACAGAGAGAGGGAGAGTGAGAAAGTACCCGCGCCCCCGATGGGGCTCGGCCATGCTGCAGTCCTCCTCCATTTCTCCACCCTGTCAGGATTTTGAGCAGGCATGCACACGTGCCCAGCATATTTTTCAGGTCACTGGGGTAGAGGTGCAAATTGCAGTTGGCCTCGTGAGCTCTGGCTGCCACTAGACCACGGGGCTGGCCCTCCTCCGACATCACGTGATATGGAATCTACGTGGCTACTTCATCTGGGATCCGGGCTCCTCTTGGAGAAGCTGGTCTCTGTCTCCTAGGGCTAAAGGGTGAGGCTGAGCCAGGGTGGAGAGGTGGGGACTAGAAAGGGCCACGGTTTACAGCCCCGTCTGTAGTTCCCCACCCTGTTTCTGGCACATGGGTGCTCAGAGCTTGGTCTGTACTGAGCCTGTACGGAGTTCGTGCAATTCTACCCAGAGCTCCTCGTTCCTAGAAGCAAGGCACCCACTCTGACCTCCCACGGTGCTGTCCGGCCACCCTCATTAGCAGAAGGGGCTTGAGAATTTCCAAAGTCGCCAGCGAAAACCTCCCAGCAACTTTTCTGTCTTTTTTTGTGTAACTTAATAGCAATGTTTTATTTTTATCACCTTCTTTCACTTAAGGACTTTGAAAATTTCTTTTTATTATTAATCACTCACTGACAGATATATTTCTTCTGAAGTCTTCTTTTGCAGTGTCGCTAGCTGGCTGACAGGCGAAGATGACAAACGTTTGTTACCAGGACACCGCCGAGGACTGATTGGTACCTTTCCCTGTGCAATGCCAGCTCTGAGTGCCGACTGCGATGCGAATTTAGGTGGGAAGTCTGCAGCCTGCTGCTCTCAGTGAGGGAACCCAGTGAGCACTGAACATTTCGCAGTGCACATGCTGGATTTTGTAAGGACACGATGATGTTCAGTCAGAGGAGCAGCAATGAGATCCCCAAGCACAAGGGCGTGAGTGGTTTGTGCTCGCTGCACCGTGAGCAGACAGACCATGTGCACACAGCACAGCTTAGAATGCGCTGGTCTTGGGTTAAACCGGCTGGGTGGGTGTGGAGGTCTGTCTAGGGTCCGAGCCTCCCAAATGTATATTTTCAGCCTCAACCTCTCCCCTGAAGTCCAGAATTCCAACCTGCCGTCCCCACTGGGATGCTCAGCAGACACCTCAACTCCATCTTGCCTGTACTGGCTTCCCGAGGCTCCCTGGGCCGGCCCCACCGCAGCCTCCCTGCAGACCTCCACTGGCTCCTGCCCAAAGGTTGGGAAATCTTTACTTCTCTTCTGTCGCTGTCCCTGCCCCGCCTTCCACATCAAGACCACTGGGAAATGCCTCTGGCGTCAGAAACTCTCCAGAAACTGGGCCCCACTCCTCGCCCCCGCTGTGCTGGCCTGTCCACATTACCGCGGTCATCCTCATCCCTGGACTGGTCTCCCTGTCCCCGCCCCTGTCCCCATGTAATTTCCCATCCCCAGTCCTTACTCAGCACAGTAGACACTGTGACCTTTCTTCAAGTGAACTATGATCAGGCCCCTCCTCTGCTCAAGAACAACCCCACAGGGGCGGCTTCCTGCTGGAGGAGCATAAACAGCAAAAACCTCACACGCTCTGCCCAGGCTCAGGTGGTCGCTCATCACCCCCAGGCCATCAGCTTCCGCCCACCTCCTCTTTTCCCACCACCCTAGATGCCTGAGTGTCCCTTGTCCCCTGGGCCCCTCCATTTGCTGTTCCCTTCCTGGCTGCTCTGTGCTAGCTCCGCTGGGCTCAAAAGCTCCTTCTCTGGGCACCCCCTGTACAACTTCAACCCCTCAGTAGTGCTGGATCTGGCATCCCCTCACGTGCCCTGCTTCCCCACCTTTCCGCGGTGCTCGCGGCTGCCGTCTAAGCTGCTGGAGCTTCTCTGTGGTCTGTGACCCAGCTCGCGGTCTCACAAGGCAGCAGTCTCTGTCTCCTTACTCACAGAAGCCTTGAGCGGCTGGCACAGGCCTGGGACGGGCAGACCCCTAAGCGCGGGTTTTTCGTATGCCTCTGTGAGAGTGAACGGGCCTCTCGTTTTTCTCTCTCAAGTCCCATCTTTTTATCTTTATTGTTTGGGAAGTGTTTTCCCATCTGTTCTTTGAAGTGACCGCTTGCTTTTTGTGGTGTGCAATCAACCGCTGCAGTTATGGCTGAGTATTTGCCATTTTATCTCTCTTTAAAATCTTGTATTTTTCTTTCTTTTTTTTTTTTTTTTTTTGAGAGTTTTTTGCTAGAGGGCGCGAGCGTTAGCCAGAAAAACAGAGAGAGACAGAGACAGCGAGAAATCACCCCCTGGGGGATGGCCACACCACAGTCCCGTCTCCACCATTCTCTGGGGATCTTGAGCACTCACGCACACACGCCTGGCATAAGTTTAAACCACCGGATCTGGGATGTGAACTGCGGTTGACTACATGGGAGTCCAGCGACATAGCCATTATGCCATCTGCTGGTCCCAAAATCTTTTTTTATTTCTTGAAAGAGAGAGAGACTGGACTAGTCTGAGAAGTATTTCATGTAAGGCAAATTCTCTTTACATGACAAATGATGTATAGCGATGGAATGTTTTTAAAAAATAAGAAAAAGAAAAAAAGAAAAAAGAAAAGAAAGAGTGAGTTAGAAGCACCTCCGACAGAGTCTCACACCTTTCCCAGCCAGGCAGGACCAGGGCTGAAGCCTAGCTTGTTCAGGCAGACCAGGGAACCGAACATGCAACCTTCTCGTGGCTCCAGCTTCTCCTACGCCGTGCGTCATTGTCGGACCACCAAGCTGGCTTTGTCTTATCTTCATGTCGGCCCCTTTTTGATTGGCAGTGGCTCTTCTCTCAAGATAGCCTACTTCAATTTTCAGGCTGTAAATTCTTTTAAATCACAGGGGGAATACAGTGGAGTTTTCCAAGTTTGGTTGTACTTGCGGTAACTCTTTCACTGGCTTAACTTTGGCGGAACTGATCCTCCGCTCACTGCCACTCTCCCCGCCGTCCAGGGTACTCGACCCTGACTTCCACGTCTCCGTCCGGTCTCCCGCATGTCCCAGCTACCGAGGTCTTGGTTGCCTCTGTCACCCACATGTCACATGTACTACCAGTACCTTGTCCCAGAGGCTGCTTCTTGACTCACGGTGTTCGCACACACAACGTGCCAATCACAGTGTAGGCCACGAAAATATTCGTTAAGAGAGTGAATGTTAAATAATTGCCTTGGGCACCCTTGACATTGTGGGGACTTGAGACATTGAGTGATGAGAGGCTGTAGTTATAGACACGGGTTTATAGTTAGACAGACTTAGGTTTAGGTAGCAGCCGTGTCAGTAGCTGTGTGACACTGCAGGAATACTTAACCTCTCTGGGCCTCAGCTTCTTAATAGTAACAAGTCTCTCACAGAGTTTTTGTGAGATGAGGCACGCATGGCCCTTAGCTTGGCATATAGTAAGTACTTTAAAGGGGCAATTATTAATATTTCTATCTTTTACTTTCATCCCAAATGAAACCCACAAGTGGCCCTTCTGACCTGAATCCTACGCCGATCAGAGAATGAAGTGGAACGGAGAAGCTCCAAGATTCCTGGCTTACAAGTGCCTCTCTGCACCTGCTCAGGGTGCCCAATCTTTTGTCGGAGGCCCTCGACTCTTGGAGCCTCTTAGGAGCTCCTGACACGGAGGACCTTCAGTCAGGGCTAGGCGGGTGCAGACGAGGGCTCCTCACAGGGGTCAGGCCTGGTCATGCCCTTTCTGACCTCCTCGGCCCCCCAGTCTCGACCTCCTCGCCACATCCCCTGTGACCTTAAGCTCCACATCTGCCACGATTCGCTCACGATGACCACCCCAGCGGCCAGGAGCCGAGGCCGGCTTGGGTCTTCCTCGGTTATTGCAATCGGTAGCGTTACAGTAAATCAAACCAGGCTGCAGCCTCAGCAATAAAGCTGAGACTTTGCTCCTTTGTCTTATTTTTAGATATCCTTAAATGCAGCGCCGTTCATAACAGAATGAGTGAAATTCATGATGACTGTCTAGAGTTGGTAAAGCGCTATTAGCTGAAAAGACCGGTTGCTTTCTCAAACTCTTAGCACGTGTCTGCTTTCCTATTGTTGAGGGAGCCTTTTGATATTGTCTAGAATCCACTGGCGAAATATTCCCTCTGCCTTAATTCTTAATATGGTGTCTCTGCTGGTCTGCTCAAAGCAGAATGATGCTCATTCTAGAGCTCCCTGCCTGGGCTGTGAGTCACAGAACGGAGCAATGTGTGAGGTCATAGTGACTCATCACCCTTAAGAACACACTTGATTAGATTTTTCATAAAATGAAAAGATGAGAATTTGTCAAAGACGGACTGAGGCTTGGTGGTAAAGTCTAGAATCAGGAAGGGGGCTGGGCCTTTGCGAGAGGATATTCCAGCTCTGGCAGGGTTCGCAGGTTGAAGCCAGGACATGATGAAGAGCCCAGTTTGAGTGTGGCCATGCAGTGCTTGGGAAGTGTGTGGATCTGTGCAAGCTGGTGGCTGTGGTCACTGGGGGACAGGCGACACCCTGGAGAAGCTCAGAGTACTGCAGTGCCCTGATGGGGAGCCACCATCGCCAAAGCCCAGAGGAGTGGGAGCTCTCCGTGAGGGTAGTCCGCGGGGTACATTTTGTTATTATTGTTATTTCGTTTTTGCCATGGGGCACAAGGGCTCACTGGAGAGAGACAGAGAGAGGGAAAGTGAGAAAGCACCCCCAGGGGGATGGCCATGCTGCAAGCCTTTCTCTTTCCATCCTCCTCTCCGAATTTTGACATACATATACCCAGCATATTTTCCAAACCAACCGGTCCAGGACTCAAACTGCAGGCAGCCACATGGGGTCCAGCACCCTCACCTCCATGCTACCCGCTAGGCCCATTGGGGAATATGTTGTCAATAGGACAAATGTTCTAGAAGACAGAGCAATAAAGGCCTGGAGGAGGGGGATGCGTTGGGTGCAGATAGACCAAAGGGCAGAGCTGGCTGGAGACACCAGCTTTGGGATAGCAGCTAGGTTGGGACCTGCCATCTGACAAGCACCTTGAGGGTTTCCTGAGCCCACAGCCATAGCCATTCACCTAGGAAGTGGTGCAATGAGCACGTTTTCCTAAAGCTTGGACGACTGGGAAATTGAAAGGTGGAGAAAACGAGAGAGGAGGTATTCGTCTGTGCCGATGGAAGCATCAGGAGGAGCCTGGCAAGACACAAATCACGGGAGGACCATTGGAGGAGAGTGTGCTGAGGGGCTGTCTGCAAATGTGGGGAAGGTGCTGGGAAGACGCCTGGACAATGAGCCGCCCTGGACAGTGAGCCGCCTGGACTAGCCGTCGGGGAGGTTTTCTCTCTGCTAGCGCCTCAATGTTTATGTCCTACAGCTCCTTGTTGAAATGCTAACAGCCCAAGGGGACGGCGGGGCCTTGGAAATGAGCAGGTGGTAAGGGTGGAGTCTTCACAATTGAGATCAGTGTCCTTGAAAGCAACTCTAGAAAGACCCAGCTTGGTGGCACGGTCAGCGGCAAACTCAACTGCAGTGCTGGAAACCAGATGGCTGCTGAGTTTGGATCCCAGGGTCAGCTTAAGAACACGCCTGGCCTGTGCACTTGAACCCAAGATCCTGTTGAGCTGGAGGACTTGGGAAGGGGGGGGGGTCACACCATAATGAGACTCTGTTGAGAGTGCATCTCTCTGTCTCTCCATAGTGAATAAAATAAACTTAAAAAAGAGAGAGACCCCAGTGAGCTCCTTAGTCCCTCCCGCCATGTCAGGACATAGCAAGATGGCACGCATTCCTGTGTGGAAAGGGCCCTCGCTAGTCTCTGACCTGCCGGCGCCTTGATCTTGGACTTCCCAGCCTCCGGAACCATGAGGCTAAGTGTCTGTTGTTTCTCAGCTGCCCAGTCTACAGTGTTCTGTTCTGGCAGCCCTGAATGGACGCTCAGATCTTCAGTGGGCAGATGAAGGAGCCAGCCAGCCAGGGCGACTCTACCCTAGGGGGCAGAGGAAATAAGTACTCCAACCTTTCTCTGCCCCTTCCTTCTGTCTCCAGCCTGGGCTCCCCCTTGGATGGCCCCATGGGAATCCAGAGGTAGTGACACCTATGCTGTGATCGTGCCCATCAGCCTCCTGGGACAGTAAGCCGCGAAGGTGCAGACCAGGTGTGAGCTGCATGTGAGCTAGGGAGTGAGCTGGGGCTGAGGCCACCGCAGTGTCTCCTGAATTGTTGAGGGGCAGCCACCATCAACCCTTTTTGTCCCCTCTTTGGAAATCTTGCCTGGACATAGCTCTGTGTTTTCTTTCAGGGCTGTTTTACTTTGGAGGAAATGAGAGAGAAGTCAGAGCGGTGGCTCTGCTGTCCCAGGCACGGTGTCCCCACTCTGCTGCCTGCACAGTGAGACAAGCCCACTGCTCTTGTGGTGTCTGGTAGGGTCGCTTCCTGTTCTCCACTTTGGGACTTCGCAGAGGTTTGCTGAACACGGGGTCTCCCAGAACACGTGCCAGGAAAACCAAGTTTGGGAGGAGAAATGCCCTGGCTTGGCACTGTGGCTGTGCAGGCTCCGTAGGGAGCGCTCCGGTGTTCTCAGATGCCACGACGCGGCCTGGATGTGCAACTACTCTGCAGTGAGGAGAGGACTCCGTAGGGAGCGCTCCGGTGTTCTCAGATGCCGTGACGCGGCCTGGACGTGCAACTGCTCTGCAGTGAGGAGAGGACCGTCTCCCTGGGAAGTGAGCTGTTCTGGAATTTTAAAATCGAATGCGTTCGCAGAAAGTGATAGGAAGTTTTGAACTTTAATCTGCCCTTAAATTGCATTTGCTGATGTTGCTCAGAAGTGTATTAATTGGATAATTTCTATTTCCAGAAAAGAAATTCACCTTTGAGTTAGGGCCAAGAGGGGAAAATGGCAGAAAGAACAAAAAATTGGAAAGCTGGAGTATAGGGTTTTAAGGAGACAATTCCTTCTCAGCGAAGGCCCTGCTGCTCTGGATACCCTTGCCTTCATGTGTACATATGTGCACACAGTCACACACGTGCAGCCAGTGCATGCACAGACTCTCACACAATCTCACACACACAATCATGCACACACATGACACACACAATCAGGCACATAATCATGCACCCACAGACATGAGCATGCACGTAATCACATACTCACAATCAAGTACACACACGACACACACTCATGCACACACAACCCCACACAATCACACACACACCCCACACACTCATGCATACATAATCACACACATAATCATGCACCCACAGACACAATCGTGCACAAAATTGTGCATATGTAATTACACAACATATAATCACACACAATCACATAATCATGTATACGACCTCACACAACACACACATAATCACATACAACCACACACAATTATCTACACAGACATATACACAATCACACACACTCAAGAATACACATATTTACACACTATACAATCACACACAGATAGACATAATCACATGCAAAAAAGTTATACACATAATCACACACACAATTACACACAGACACACATGACTATACACACATACAATCAAATATATGTAACCACACACTCAGCATACCTGCAACCACGTGCATGCACACATTCATATAAGGGACCACACACTCACAGCATTCTGGAACTACCCACATCACATCCCGTGCCTATATATCAAGCATACTCAATCACACAACATACACAATCACATAGCTAGAACAATCGCACACACAAAACACTGTGCCACACATGCTGTGGCATGTACACACACTGTACTGCACACGGATATGCCCCACCCAAACACCCATGGTCCACCTCATGCACCTCCCAGCCCTTGCCCTCGCTCTCTAAGTCAGACTGCAGATGGGACTTCTGCACCTCTCAGCCCTCGCCCTCACTCCCTAAGTCAGACACCCTGCAGATGGGACTTCTGCTGCTGTCAGGGCTTTTCTCTGCTGCGATGAGAGGACCATGGCGGAGCCGCCGGCCGCAGCTCGGAGCACAGGTGTCCCCTGCGGGGCTCACTGGATGCCTGCTCAGGCAGCATGAGTATGTACCGGACCCTACGTCTGCTGAGGCTCAGTGGTCTCTGACCTGCACTCAGGGTCCCGCGCTGGGGTGTGTGACTGCATGGATTTGTGAATGGATACCTGTGACTGTGTGCGTTTGTGTATGAGTGCTTGTCAGCATGCACATGAGTGCACGTGAGTGTGCATGTGCATGAGTGTGTGGGCTGACGAAGGGCTGGGAAGGACAGCAGCCCCACATGTGTGTGCACATGAGTGTGTGGGCGGATGAAAGGCCAGGAAGGATGGCAGCTCCACGGGTGTGTGCACGTGAGTGTGTGTGAGCGTGTGGGCTGACAAAGGGCTGGGAAGGATGGCAGCTCCACGGGTGTGTGCACCTGAGTGTGTGTGAGCGTGTGGGCTGACAAAGGCCAGGAAGGATGGCAGCTCCACGGGTGTGTGCACGTGAGTGTGTGTGAGCGTGTGGGCTGATGAAGGGCTGGGAAGGATGGCAGCTCCACGGGTGTGTGCACCTGAGTGTGTGTGAGCATGTGGGCTGATGAAGGGCTGGGAAGGATGGCAGCTCCACGGGTGTGTGCACGTGAGTGTGTGTGAGCGTGTGGGCTGATGAAGGCTGGGAAGGATGGCAGCTCCACGGGTGTGTGCACCTGAGTGTGCATGCACATGAGTGTGTGTGTGGGCTGGCAGAGGACAGGGCAGGACGGCAGCCCCACGTGTGGGAACAGAGCTGAATCAGCTGGGTCATATGAGACTTCGTGAAACTCTGGTTCCAGGAATATGTCTGAGTAAATCCCATCCTCCGTGTTCCCTTGGGCCCGGGTGTAAGGCACAGAAGCCGCAGGATATCAGATTTCTGGATTTAAGACTTCCTACACCCTCGAGCCCAAGTCAGAGCCGTTGCTGTGCAGACTCTGTTTCTAGGCTCCCCGTGTGGGAGCCGCAGAGCACCAGCTACGATCGCTTCTGTGGACAGGGCGTCTTGACAGCTGTGGGGACGTTTAGTGACCCCAGTCAGGAGTGTCCGTGGAAAAGGCAGAGGGTCACTCTGACTCCCTGTGGCCCCC